TTTTGGAGGCTGGAAATTCAAATGTCAAGGTTTTAGAGCTACACCATGTGTTTGAATAACTCTGAATGTATTACTACCACTCTACCATGGACGCAATACCCTTTTCAAAAATCAGCTGACCCTCATTGGTTTTAGCTGCTACTGAGTCAGCTACAACTCATAAGGACCCTACATGCAACTATACAGAACACTGCTGAAAGGAGACAAGGAGCTTCCTCCTAAACTGTGAGTGCCTGGTGCCTTGAACTTGGACTTTCAGTTTCCTAAACTGTAAAAAATAAGATTAGCAATGGGTTGTTGTTTTGGGGTTTTTTTAAATATAATTTTTATTTATTGCTTTAGCTTTTTTTCTTAAACTCTTTTCCTTATGGATGACATTTTGATAACTTTAATAAACACACTTTTAGTGAAATACACATCCTTTTAATAAACTAATTCTGGAAACCTTAAAACATGTAAAATAAGTGAACCAGGTTTTAGAATATTAATGTATGTGGATGCATATATTTTTAGAAAGTGAAAAATACTTCACAGATATTGCAAAGAGATATTAGGAAAAATTATTAGTTATCTTTCTATTTCATCTACAATAACAATTTCATACAGCTTTTGTCCTTATCAGCATAATACTCTCCATTCCCTCCCAAGTTAGATAGTAATTTTCAAAATCATTGTTCCTGAGTGCTACATAATATTCCACTGTGTGAATGTACCACAATTTCTCAATCCATTCAATTGTGTTTGTGTATTTGAGCTGTTTCCATGTTCTTGCTCAGGTGAATAACACTGCTATGAACACTGGTATACAAAAATCTGTTTGCGTCTCAGTGCTAATTTTCTCAGGGTGTATTTCAAACAGTGAGATACCCAGATCATATGGAATTCTATGTTCAGCTTTTTGAGGAAATGCCAAACTGACTTCCAGAGTGGTTGTACCATTTTACAGTCCCACCAAAAGTGTATGAGAGTTCCAGTTTCTCCACATCTTCTCCAACATTTATTGCCACTGCTACTGAGGTGAGATGGTATCTCCTTATGGTTCTGACTTGCATTTTTCTTATTGCCAATGATTTTGAGCATTTCTTTATGTGTCCTTCGGCCATCAAAATGTCTTCTTTTGTGAATGGTCTTTCCATGTCTCTTGCCCATTTTCTAATCGAGTTATCAGTCTTTTTCTTCTGGAGGTCCTTGAATATTCTGTAAACTTTAATTATGAGACCTTTGTCCGAGAATGTATTGCCAAATGTTTTTTCCCAGTCAGTGGGTTTCTTTTCGTCCTGTTGATAAAAGCTTTTGATGTTCACAGGGATTTAATCTTTGGAAGGTACCATTCATCAATTTTATCCTCTTCTGATTGTGTATTTCTGGTTAGACTTGTCAGCCTTTTTAAACCATGAGCTAGGCCTTCTAAGCTTGGTCCTACTTTGTGTCTTATGATCTTTATGGTTTGGGGCTTTACCCCTAGGTTTCTGATCCACTTTGAGTTGATTTTTGTGTATGGTGAGAGGTGTACATCCTGCTTCAGCTTTCTGCAGGTAACAATCCAGTTTTGCCAGCACCATTTGTTGAAGAGATTGTCGTTTTCCCATTTGATAGGTTTTGTTTCCTTATCATATATCAGTTGACCGTGGTGTTGTTGTTGTTATGTGCCATCAAGTTGCCTGCAAATCATAGCAACTATTTGTACAATAGCTCTGATTCCTGCCCTATTCTGCATCAATCTCATCATCTCTGACAGACCTAATCCCATTTCTCAGACACTGAGTCAATCCATCTTATGCTGTGTCTTCCTCTTCTGCACTGTCCCTCCATCCTTCCAAGCATAATATCCTTCTCCAAGGATCAGTCCCTCCTGTCCATGTGCCCAAAGTATTTGAGATGGAGCTTCAAAATCATTGCCTCCAGGGAGCAGCTTGGTTTCACCCTTTCTAAGGCAGATCTGTTTGTTTTCCTGGAAGTCCACAGTATGTTCAAAACTTTTGTCCAGCTCTACTACTCAAAGACATCTAATCTTCTTCTATTATCCTCAGTCATTGTTCAGTGAAAACCATAACCTGGCAGGTGCATGTTAGTCTTTATACTGATGTCATTGCTCTTCAAGTACTCTGGAGAGGTCCCTGACAGCAGATTTTCCCAATGCAATCCTGTCTGCTGTTGCCAAGAACGGAACCAAATCAAGCAAGCTGAAGCTGTTAACAACCTCATTCTCTTCTCCATCTATCATGAAGGTGCCAATTGGCCCAGTGGTGAGAATCTTTGTTTTCTTGATGTTGAGCTTCAATCCATATTGAAGACTACAGTCCTTGACCTTGTGCAGCAAACACCTCATGTCTTCCTCCATTTCAGCAAGCAAAGTTGTGTCATTTGCATAATGCAGGTTGTTGGTGAGTCTTTCTCCAATCCTGATGCCACATTCCTTCTCATAAAGTCCAGCCTCTCAAATTATCTGTTCTGCATATAGATTGAAAAGGTTTAGGGATAGGATCCATCATGATGTACAGCTTTCCTGATGTTGAATCATGCAGTGTTTCCCTGATCTGTTCTGACTACTCTTTCCTGGTCCCAGTATAGGTTTCACATGAGCACAATTAAGCGTTCTGAGATTCCCATTCTCCTCAAAGTTAGCCGCAATTTGTTGTGATCCACACAATGGAACACACATAGACATTCCGCTGGAACTGTCAGCTTTCAGCCAAGAGCTATCTAACGTCAGCTATGATGTCCGTAGTGTCAAGGCTTCTTCTAAACCCAGCTTGCACATCTGACAGTTGATTGTTCTGTTGGTGTACTATTCCAACCCCTTTTGAATAATCTTCACCAGGATCCTGCTATTAACAATATTGTTTAATAATTGCACATTCTGTTGTGTCACATTTTTTTTAATGGTAACAAGTATGGATCCCTTCCAGAAGGTTGGCCAGGTTGTTGTCCTCCAGATATCTTGGTATAACCTGGTGAGCAGCATCTGTTCGTTAAAATATATCAGTTGACCATAGATAAATTAATTTCTGTATTCTCGATTCTGTTCCCTTGGTCTATGTGCCTGTCATTGTACCAGTATCATGCTGTTTTGGTTATTACAGCAGTGTAGTAGGATTTGAGATTAGGGGAGTACTATGCCTCCCACTTCCTGTTTTTCAGAAGTGTTTTGCTTATTTGAGGTTACTTTCCTCACCAAATAAACTTGAAAAATGCCTTTTCAATCTCTTTTAAAAACTAACATGGTATCCATAATGGATTGCATTAAAGATTCCTATAAATTTTTGCTTCTAGATTTTGCATCTTGAACTTCCCAGATGGTCTTTCAGCCATTTACGAGTTTTGCAACCTTTAGTTCTGACTCTTTAACAGTTTAAGAAATGTACCCTTTGCCCTACTCCAACAGAGAAGCTGAGGTAGTGGACTTTTCTCTGTCCCGACAGTCTGTCCCTTAATACATTCCATTTGCTTTTGTTTAAACCGATTCCATGATGTTCTTTTAGGAAAATCCTCAGATTTTTACCATGGGAGCAGCAGGTATGTGTTGAATTTGCTGGCAAAACCTGTTTTAGATTACTGAGAAAAGGGTGTATGCTGTGTTGTTGTTATGTGCCGTCGAGTCGCCTGCGACCCTATGTACAACAGCCCTAAACTCCGCTCTGTCCTGTGCCAATTGCACTGTCTCTGACACTCCCAACCCAATTATCCAAGTCACTGAATCAATCCACCTCATAGAGGGCCTTCCTCTCCTGCGCTGTCCCTCCACCCTCCCAAGCATGATGTCCCTCTCTAAGGACCGGTCTCTCCTCACAACATGTCCAAAGTATGTTAGACGGAGCCTCAGAATCCTTGCCTCCAAGGAGCTACCCGGTTTAACCCTTTCCAGGACAAATCTGTTTTCCTACTTCTCCAGCACCACAGCTCAAAGGCATCAATTCTCCTTCTATCCTCCTTGGTTATTGTCCAACTCTCTGATGCATAACAAGTGATTCTGAAGACCATGGCCTGTATCAGACGCACCTTAGTCTCCAGAGAGACACCATTGCTCTTCAGTACTTTGGAGAGGTCCCTAACAGCAGACTTTCCCATGGCAATGCGCCTTTTAATTTCCTGGCTGCCAAGACTGTTGACTATGGAGCCAAGCAAACTAAAGCTGTGTACAATCTCAATCGTCCACCAATCTTGACCCCACATTTCTCCTCATAGAGCCCAGCCTCCCGGATAATCTGTTCTTCATATAGGTTGAAAAGGTATGGAGATAGGATGCATCCCTGGCGTACGCCCTTCCCAATTTTGAACCGTGCAGTGTTCCCTTCCTCTGTTCTGACGTCTGCCTCCTGGTCCAAGTATAAGTTTCACATTAGAACGATCAAGTGTTCTGGGATTCCCATCCTTCTCAGAGTCAGCCACAGTTTGTTATGATCTACACAGCCCTCCTAAAATCGATACCATGAGTCAACGTCAGTCAGTTATTGAGTCAACCAGGTTACCAAAGCTGTGACATAGTTTAGGCCATAGGGTGGGATTTCCCCCCCAATTTAAAAAAAGGAGGGGCGTGGGCCCAAGTTCACAAACTACTAACAGCGCTCTTGCATGGATCCTGACTAGAGAGAGTATCACTTGGTGAGCTAAGTCTACCCTAACGTCTAGAAAAGAGCCGACCTTGGTGGGGAATTGAGCCGACGTTGGTGGGGAATTGACTGTCAGGAGGTGATTATGACGGACTCTGGGGCTGGCTGTCCCACAATACTCCAAGAATAGAGACAAAGAGAGGTCACCCTGGCGACCGGGAGGGTGGTAGTCTGGCCACCC